GTAGTATTTTTGTTTGTATTTGTAGGATTATTGTTTAACATTCACTTAAAATGCTCCCTGTTCTTGGCTTGCCATACAAGCATTATATTTCTAAGGACGCTCACGGAACATCCAGGATGTTCAGTGCGGATTTTGTAGTTTGGAGATAATCATAACCTGTTGAAGAGGTATTGTTTCAATATTTTTGTTTTACTGCATGCACGGGGAGCTAATAAAGATCAGTTTAAATATATGTTTAATGCGTTAAAAATAATCTAACCTCCTACAGTTTGGGTACATTTATTCATTTAGGCATTTGCTCATTAAGAGCAAAATGAAGGATTGATTATTTCAAAGCTATTGACAGTCCTAAGGTTTCCTAAAGACAAATGCAACAACCACAAAAAGGTAAATCAAAGGCTAGTGGACTTTAGCTTTATTGTTTCTACAGAAATTTCGGCACCTGGCCAGTGGTTGTTGTCAGTTCTGTTGGCTTTTACCAGAGCAATCTTTGGTTGGAGCACTGACGTTTTATGTAACCTGGAGGTCCATTCCAGTCAGATTGTTGTTGTATTTTGTTGTGTATGGGTTTTGTGGTTGGCCATTTGGATCATAATGAGTATGCTTGGGTAACCTGTTTGGAATGAGTTCTTGTACCAAATAAAAGTTGTACTCTTAAATGTTTTAGGTGTGTAAAGTTTTAGAGATCAGATGACAAAAATGTTTTTTTTTATAGCCTCTCTTCTAGATTAGAAAGGATAGAGAAAATGCTGTTGTTGGGCAGAATTCCAAAAGTTAAGAAATAGCTGCACTGGCGTAACATTCCCTTAATGTCAGATTAGTTTTGCAAAAAACATTTTGTCATTGTTCTGACAGCTGGCTAATTTGTCTGTTTGTTGACTTGATCACAGCTTCTGTCTGTTCCCTGTGGGAACAATGCTTCTGAGAGGTAACCTGTATTTTGTAGCCCTAAGTCTCAAGAATGATCAAATATTAGGCAGAGGAAGAAGAACTGTTACTGTTCAGGATACAAAAGAGTTTTGTTTGTCAGTATCTAATTTTTGGCCTTTTCAAAGTCAGTTAGTGCATTATCTATGTTCAAATTAGTCCAAAAGTAAAAGAGCTGTTGTCCATTTATTGGACCTGGAGGTAGTGTTGAGTGTTTGCATCCATTTGTGTTCCTAAATCAGTGTTTTCACAGAGAAAAAATGTTGTTGAAGTCTGTTGGTGAGGGCTTGCATATCTTCCATCTTGATCTTCCAGAAGACAAGTTGAGGAAGAGAGAGTATCCCGAATGTATGATACACAGCACTGCCTTTACATCTATTACAACTTTATTTACTTCGTGTCTGCAGCCTTGCCAACAAGCCTAAGTGCTGGCAGCTTAGTTGTGATCTTATTTCTCAAGTGAGCTCGTCTAGACCTTTAATGGGGCTTAAAACCCATTCTTGGATGTTCCTCCCTAACGTCTTAACCGTATTTCCCTCTTGCTGAATGTTCTAAATCTCTTCCGTCTCTAAATTGTTCTTGTAAACATTAAAATGGACAAAGGATTTTAAAACTTTCATAGGAGCATTTTTCTCTGGATATGAGTGGTTTCATTAGAATTGCTGATATAGTAGCTTTCCAGCTTTCACGTCTCAATTAGATCTCAATTCCCTTAATTGTCTGGCTGTTGAAGCAAGGTGTAAGTATTTACATTTCTAGTTAGGTTGGCTCTAATGAGCAAATGATGTTAAGAAGCATTTTAACTTATGTCTACCTTGTAAATTCTCACATTTTTACTCACATCATCATACTGGGGTACACTGTAAGACAGTCTCTGACATGTTTTCATTGGCCTTTCTCATGCTAAACATTTGACCCATTTGGACATTTTGGACATGTGATGATGCAAATTCAATACAAGAGGTCCAGTCTTCAATTTTACAGATAAGTCTCAAGTTTCAGGGCTAATGTTTAAGTCTTTTTCTAATGACTTTGATTGATATAATTTGGATTGTATTGCTATTATGTCCCCTTTGATACATCAGGTTCTGGTAGAGTTCTTTTCAGGAAATAATCCTATCAAGTTCTGCATTTGTTGAGCCCTAATGCCCCTGGGAGCTAAGCACTGTGCCCCAAGCACCACTCTTGACGTTTTTAGGAGATTCTTGGCTCTGCAATTTGTTCCCTTTGTCCAGAAATGTGGTCTTCCACCCAGGTGGGCATGAGCCAACGTTACAAAGAAGCTGAGTGCTCTGTTTTAATGGTGATTGAGTAGAATTTAAAAAACAAAAAGAAAACTTTGCATACCGTATCTAATAAGGGCCTTCTACATTTGTAGGGTAAGACAAAAGGGTAAACTGCCCCTTTTACTGCAGAAGCACATCAGAATGAGAAGTATATTGCAGTGAAGGGGTTGAGGACAGGGGCTGTACCTGGGTACAAGGCTGGGTAGGTGGTGGGTGCACTTTCTTTTTGTCCAAGTTAAAGCTTACAGCACTTGAGTTTGACAGGGAGAGTGGGAGCAACAGAGGCCAATTAGACACAGCTGTCACTCCATCTACTATCCTTTATAAAGCTGCAACAATAACCTTGAGCTTAATGGTTGGCTGCTTTACGTTGGTGGCATGTATAAATATCACACCACCATGTGGGGCTTCACTGTTCATGTCTGTGAATTACTTCCACACACAAAGAGATCCTCTTCTAAATGTGAATTGTTTGTTGATCGTGTTAAGTGTGAAATTGTAAAAGTGCATTAGGGCCTTCTGTTTTTGCTGCATACCTGTGTTTGCATAGCAAATGGTGTTTGTATGTGTTTTGGGTTTAGGAGGGGTTTTCGGTAGCCTTGGTGGTAAATGGCTGTGTTGGAGGGATTCCTTTTGGACCAGAGCCGTCCTCATTTGCATGAGCTTTCATTGAATGGCTTTATCAGACACGCTTTTCAGGAAAGAGACAAACACTTCTGTAAATGTGTGAGGGCTCTTGGGCCAGCACTGGTATTTGTGGCCTTTTTTGTCTTTTAAGCTACGCTGGATGCATTGCTGAAGCAATAGCAGCCCTATGCTGGAAGCCATTTCGCAATTTCTTTTCAGGCGAAAATATCTTCACACATTATTATATTTTTAGTCTTTAAAGGAGTTTTTTCAAGGTTTTAAAACTTGAAGGAGATGTCCTTTGTGGTTTGTCTCGAAAAGTCTGTAACATTACAACATTTATTTTCTGTACTTAAGAAAATTTCCAATGCAGCTTGAGCTAGACCTTTGGTTTTTTATCTCATTAAGGTGCAAAATAATGCTCCAAATTATATTTTTTTAAATTAGGGGGTGTAATGAATGTTCAAATTTCACAAATTGTAGTTTGAAGGATCTGCGTTTTCTACAGCATACTCCACTGATTATTTGGCGAATACAAGAATTACATGCTTTAAATGGAGCTAGACTAAGCAATCTCGTTCATATGTCGAAAAACTGAGCTTTACGAAGCTCTGAAAATTGGAAACCAGCTATTTTATTATGTTATTTATACGATCTCCTGATATAATTATGCTGATTGTAGTAGAGCAAAAGCCTGTTAATCAGCTATTCTATTAAAATCAACTGTGCTGGAGCAAGGACACATCTAAAACCTGCAGGACAGCGGCCCTCGAGGACCAACTGTGGTTATGCCTGGTTGAAGGTATAGTGGATGATACTCTTTTTCATGGTGGATCATCAAAATAAGTGGTCCTCCTAATTGTCAATCATTTTGGTGATACGTTTACATAAGGCTGTCCTACGTGCTTATCCCCATTTTCACTTACCGGTGGTGAGTCTTACATGGTGGAAATATTGCAAACCATCTTTTGGACAGTAAGCTTGTATGAGTGTTGCAAACATCAACTTTCAAGCAGAACGCGCACCTGGAGAAATAGGCTTGTGCATGCTCTTGCATAGCTTTAATAGGCGTTCCCTCATAGGAACAGGTACTGGATTGTGCACATGCATTTTTTTTTAAAGTGGAGAGGGTGGGTTGCGCATTCGCGAAAATCTTCCATTGTACCTATGATATCTTGTTGATAGTGGACCAAAAATAGAATCGTATTCATTTTTATTAAAACAAACACATTTTTAGCCATAACTTAAAGCAAATATTTTCATGCTAACATGCTAAATTGAGATACTAATTACTAACAATCTTGGCATTGCCATTACAGCTTACGCCATTCTATGCCTGCTCATAGCCTCCTGTTGTCTGTTACCTGATATGTTTGTTTTTCTTTCCCTTACCATTAGTGTCTGGTTCTTGATAAATTTATACCTCTACCTGATGAAGACGCCGTCACTTATCGCGCCTTGGACCTGCTGGAAGAAGGCAAGTTCTGGGCGGGTCTTGTCTTTACGAACATGTTCTCCTGGACCACCAGTGTTCCACCTCACGTCAAGTTCAAGATCCGTATGGATATCGATATGGTGGAGCGCACCAACAAAGTTAAAGACAGGTTAGATCAGCTTCTAGCAGAACGTGGAAACTAAAAACAAATGGGAGCTAAAGGTATGTGTGTGTTACTCTCAGGTACTGGGACCCAGGCCCCAGAGCTGATCCTATGGATGACCTCCGCTATGTCTGGGGCGGCTTTGCCTACCTTCAGGACATAATAGAGCACGGGATCATCAGGACTCACACAGGAAAAGAATGGCCCCTGGGGGTCTACCTACAGCAGTTCCCTTACCCTTGCTATGTGGATGATCTGTGAGTGGAAACATTGACACATTCCTGGTTTCATATGTCAATAAGTATGTCCTCCTTATCATTCTTTACTCCCCTGTCCTTCTTCCAGCTTCATGCTGACGTTGAACCGCTGTTTCCCCATCTTTATGGTTCTGGCCTGGGTCTACTCCGTGTCTATGATAGTAAAAAGCATAGTTTTGGAGAAGGAGCTCCGCTTGAAGGAGACCCTGAAGACCGTAGGGGTGACCAATGATGTTATATGGTCCACCTGGTTTATTGACAGCTTTTTCATGATGGGTACCAGCACCGCGCTTTTGACTGCTATCATCATGGTGAGGAGCAGCTTATTTTTACACTTTAACATCTGTCTATCCTTCAAACAGAAACAACTCTCTCTTTTGCTTCGTGCTTAAATTTCCTTATCTGTAAATGGCAATAAGTGAACTGTTCTGCTGCCATTTGCCACAATTTCTCCTTGAGTGACTGAACTGATATTAATAGCTCACTGGATAGTTACTTTCTCAGTAAATCATTACCAGAAAACACGGCAGATACCATGACATCATGAGAATTATGTAAGAATTCTCCAAGACCTGCAGTAAAGAACTTGGTAAATCATTACCAGAGAGCAGGAAAACAGTCTTTTTATTGTAGTATGTTGGGCTTATGCGACCCCTTGTGGCCATTTGTATGAAGCAGTATTCACTAAAATGTGTTTCTGTCCTTTCTATAGGGAGGGAGGGTTCTGAACTACAGCAACCCTGTCATCCTTTTCCTCTTTCTGCTCTCCTTCACCACTGCCACCATCATGCAGTGCTTCCTCCTAAGCGTCTTTTTCAACCAGGCCAACCTGGCAGCGGCGTGCTGTGGCATCATCTACTTCACCCTATACTTGCCCCACATTTTCTGCTTTGCCTGGCAGGACAGCATCACCAAAGACATGAAGATCATGGCAGTGGGTCCCTGCTCATATTTCCTTTATATACAAACAGATGCCTTAAAAAAGATGCCTTTTGATTAGAGAATATTAATAAACACCCAATATCATAAAGACCAATGAAAATAACAGACAGGGCAAGGAGAAATTGGTAGAAAAGTTAAAAGCAAGGTTTAGACAAAAAGCAACTTCTTAGGGTCTGTGCCACAGCTTCCAAAATATGAGGGTGTGTTGGAAAAACTGATTAATGCAAATACTTGGAACTTATAATTTAGTGATGGCAGAAAGATTTCACCTAATATGACTGCATAATGCTTCTTCTCTTAGAGTCTACTGTCCCAAGTGGCCTTTGGGTTTGGTACGGAGTATCTATCCCGATATGAGGAGCAAGGAATGGGGCTGCAGTGGGACAACATCCAGACCAGTCCTTTAGAGGGGGACGAGTTCTCCTTTCTCACATCTATCTGTATGATGAGCCTGGACACGATACTTTATGCTGCTCTAGCCTGGTACCTGGACAACGTCTTCCCAGGTCAGTATGCTTAAAAGAAAATGTCATCTCACAATATAACAAAAGTAAATATGGGAGTTATTTGTTTATTTTCATCATTATAGGACAATATGGGATTGGCCGTCCCTTTTACTTCCCCTTCCTGCCATGTTATTGGCTCAACAGTGTTGCTCCGGCCTCTGGTACTGCAATCTAAGCCAGTTCACAATATTACTTAAAATAGGTGATAATGTCAAAGAGAACTTCTTTCTTTTTATTTTACCATCTACTCCATTTATTTTAAAGGGAATTACAAAACAGAGCTGGAGAAAAAAGGATTTGATAATCTGACAAACAAGGAGCAAGGAGATAAAAAGGCAGGTGAGGAAATCGGTGACCAGGTCCAACTTCAGGCTAATGAGAAGGAGGACATCCCCTCATGTGAACACTATGATCAGCGTGAAAACTTAGGCCAGACAGAGCCTGAGAAGAAGGAAGGTAAGTCAGTATACGGCTCTAACTGTCTCACAGAGGGCTTTTCATTCCAAACAGGGTTCATTGTGTGCAAACCTGATGACCTTGTGTACATTTGTACTGGCTGATGTTTGTAAACTCACACTTCTCACCTACCAGTTTCATGCTTAGTTAATCATTAAACCTTTTTTTTTTATCGCTGTATTGCATTCCAAACACATGATTTCATCAACCTAAAGGGAACCAAAACACATTGGTTTCACTCTGTGCACAAAACTACCACTGAATATATTCAGATAGATTTGAATCCTTGCTGTTTTCGGTGTCCACAGAGGAGCTGTTTTTTGAGCCAGAGCCAGAAGATCTAGTAAAGGGCGTCTGCATCGAGAACCTGGTCAAAGTCTTTAGCAGCTGCTCCTCCCCAGCAGTTGATGGACTCAGCATCAACTTCTATGAGAGCCAGATTACGGCTTTTCTTGGCCACAATGGAGCCGGAAAGACCACCACCATGTACGTCTCATACGCTCTCATGTTAACTGATTTGTGAACATGAGAACATCTAAAACTCCTTTATCTGCCAGGTCAATTCTGACTGGAATGTTTCCTCCCACCTCGGGAACGGCAACCATTTATGGAAAGGACATCCGCACCGACATGGACACCATTCGCATGTCTCTGGGCATGTGTCCTCAGCACAACATCCTTTTTCAGCAGTATGTAACATTTTGCATATTTAGCTAATAATAAGCAGGGCCTCAGATAAGCACTCTTACCCCTGGAGGTTTTTCAAATTGTTCTCATATAAGGATTTTACAGAATAGAACAACAGCCAGGCATAAAAACATCACATCAGTATTTTTAAGAAATATTTTTCATGAATATTTTTTTTTCTTCCAAGTGTGGTGCATGTTTGCATCTGGATTGGGGTCTCATTATCCTTTTGTTTAATATTTGTGGTTTTCATGAGGCCTCAAGTAGAACTGCTGCCCCATCTACCATCTGGTGCCTCTTAACCCCTTTGTTTCAAATTATGTTTTAGGGAGATTTATAGCCTCACATGTTGTAACCATTTTAAATTTAGACCAAACAGTTTACCTTTGCTCTGTACTGATTAGCATACCTTCTTCATATTGTGTATTGTATCCTAAATGTGACATAATACAAATAGGACTTATAGCTTTCTCTGCAGAATAGTGCAACCTCCCCTCAAATGCTCCCCTCATCTCCTTACCAAGGTTTAGGTGTCATTTTTAGGTTTTCCACTGTTTCATACTCTTTCCTTTTGTTGAGGATGGACAGAGCAGTCCTTAATGATAGTTTTAAAGCCTTAAAATATGGTTTAATAATCCAGTGCTGCTTCAAACATTTCGCCAAATGATTCTTGATCTGTTTGATTTGCTTCCTGGTTCCTATTATGCTTTTGGTTTACTAACAAACCTCTAAGTTCTATAGAAAAACAGCTGAATTCATAATTTACACAATAATGGACAACCATTTTATTGACTGTATTGCTGCTGGAGGCAATTGATGCACTACACTGGGTGTCAAAAATAAAATAAAATAAACAACCTAAATCCTAACAAAAAGCTACTCGAGCCTAATGAAATTTTCTATCTATACAGCAAGACACTTTGCCTTTCTAGGAATTCAATTCAATTCAGTTTATTTATATAGCGCCAATTCACAACACATCTCATCTCAAGGCACTTTACAGTTCAACCAGATCATCCAGTCAAATTGATTCAAAGTTTTCTATCCAAGAGGAACCACCTGATTGCATCAACTCATTGACTCAAAGGCAATCCTGCACACTAAGAGTGCTTGTAGCGACAGTGGGGAGGAAAAAGTCCCCTTTACCAGGAAGAAACCTCCAGCAGAACCAGGCTCAGCGTGAGTGGCCATCTGCCGAGGCTGACTGGGGTTCAAGGAGACAGAAGCAGACATAAAGAATGAAGCAGATATACAAAGGCAACTGTAAACCAGCTCAACAGGCGGCCCCATTCAGGAAACACAGAGCCAGGCAGACTTGCTCCGAGCCAGCTCGCATGTCAGAGGATGAGGAGAGCACATCCAGCCAGCCATAGTCCGAGAAACAGGACTACACTGAAAAACAGGGAGATCCCGAACATCTATAAATAAAGGTGTTGATGGCAGCAGAACAGCTGATATTTCTCTCCAAGATGGTGTCACAGCCAAACAGGAACAGACCAGATGAAGCTATTGTGAGAAAAAGCAGTGACAGCATAATGTTAAAGATTAAACTAACAACTTTTGCAGTGTGGGAGAATAGATATAGAATGATGAAAAAGGGGTCCCTTTGTCCTCCAGCATTCTAAGCCTATAGCAGCATAACTATAGAGATAGCTCAGGAAAACCTGAGCCACTCTGAAAAATCTTCTCTAATAAAGAAATATAATTTCATATAAAAATGTCTTGATTTACAATTTTTAAATATAGAAATACATTAAAATTAGACATAATCTAACCCTTCTAAATATAATATATATATTTTTTATCTTGGTAAGATCTAAGTAATTTGCAGTGTAAATTTTAATCCCACGGGGCTGTGTGTAAATGATAACACTTCAGTGATGTTTTTTGTACACATTAAGCCAGGAATCTTTTTCCTACAATATCTTAACCAGATCCTTCCAGATCTTGCGTATCACTTGTATTTGGCCAATCAAACAAACTTCTAAATAAGGATATAAAAAAAACGAACAGCAGTGTACTCATTGTAATCCTACTTGTTCTTTCTCAGCATGACGGTGGCAGAGCACATTCTTTTTTACGCGCTGCTAAAAGGGCGTCCATTAGCTGAAGCTGAAGAAGAGGTGGAAAACATGCTGCAGGATCTGGGCCTTCCCCATAAGAGAGATGAGCTAACCCAGAATCTCTCAGGTCCTTTTGAAATCACATACATCCATGATCACTTCCTTATGTGGAAAACTCATTGATTTGTTGTTTCTTAATCCAGGGGGCATGCAGAGGAAGTTGTCAGTAGCTTTGGCTTTTGTTGGAGGAGCCAAAGTGGTGATCCTGGATGAGCCCACCTCAGGGGTTGACCCTTACTCCAGGCGCTCAATTTGGGACCTGCTGCTCAAATACCGGTTGGGTAATACGAATTAATCTAATTTATGTCGATTATCATCAGAATTTGAACCCAAAACAATATTTTTTAATAATTTTATATTATTATTCTGAAACAAACGAACATCCCTTCATTTCTCCTTCTCTCACCGTGGTTTTCAGGACGCACCGTAATCATGTCCACTCACCACATGGACGAGGCTGACCTTCTGAGCGACCGAGTGGCCATCATCTCCAAGGGTCGCCTTTATTGCTGCGGTTCGCCCATCTTCCTTAAGAACTGCTTTGGGGCAGGCTTTTACCTTACTCTTGTTCGCAAAATGAAGCACGAAACTCCTAATGTGAGGAACTCTGAGAATAAAACATTCGATTTGCCGTATTTCATAACGTGTAAACATTCACTTTGAAACAACTTGAACATTTTTGCATTGGATTGGGTTTATTAGATTCTTACTCTGCATGAATCTTAAGACGAACTTCTGTAATTATTTGTAAAAGATGTTTAAAGATTTAAACATTTTTATAATTGTGACATGAGCTCTAAGGAAATATTGAATCATCTTTATCCTATTACAAACCAGGCTGGCTGCGACTGCACACAGGACTGCTCCTGTAAATGCTCCAAATGTTCAAAGTTTAAAGCCAACCAGGAGGAGAACCGCACCCCAGACAGACAGCTTGACGGTAAGATCTTCCTCTCTCTGTTATTGCACTGTAGCTATTCGCCTCATTGCTGTTAGTCCATCTTCTATTGAGAAAAAATAAAGCATATCTGCTAGATAATGTCGCTGACATACCTAAAGACCTCAGCTCACTGTATTTACGGGTTAAATGTTACTAGAATAAAATCAACTGAACATTTCATTTACATTTGGCCTTGGAATATGAATATGTTGCATTTTTAAAAGTTCTCAATTACTAACTTTATTTTTCGTCCTTCAGGAGAGACTTAAAAGGTAGAATGTAAGGTATCATAGAACTCCTGGTTAATACTCCATGGATTCCTTATATAATGCAAAACAAAGCATAATGTCTTTTAAAAAGGAATTTGAAACAATATAACCCCGGGTATAAACAAATGACAGACACTCTTAGCCACTTCTTAAAATGGGAAAGACAAGAAAATATGCTTTTCAATAAAATTAAACCTGTGTTTACCTACTTAAGTTACGAATACCCACCAGGAACATCTACTTGCTTTAACTTGCGCTTATCTGTAGTCAGAATAATTTGAATAATGCCAAATAAAACCCCATGGAAAATCCATCATTATCATCCATCCATCCATCCATTTTCTTTACACGCTTGTCCCAATTGGGGTCGCGAGGGGTGCTGGTGCCTATCTCCAGCAGTCAATGGGCGAGAGACGGGGTACACCCTGGACAGGTTGCCAGTCCATCGCAGGGCCCATAATTATCATGCTACCAAAATATTTTTTCTTTTTTCTTAAGCTCTTTGAGAATGAGTAAATACAAGGATTTTATAATTTGACACTTGAGTAAAAAGTACTTTCAGCTTAATAGAATCTCAATAAAATAAAGAAAAACAAACACTTGAAGGACTAGTGAAGCTCCTCAGGTATAACAATAAATAGATTTTTGCTGAAAAATGGAGTTGTAAATCCTCTTGGGTCATAAACGTAAATCATTCTCGCACATTTGTCTGGTCAAAAGAAGGGAATACAGCTTCACTAAATCTCTTGGTCAAATATTTTATAATTTCCTACCTGAATAATGTTTTAATATAGTCTCAAGTAACACGAAAAGAGTGTTTTCTTTTGAGAATGAATGGGTTTGATATTTTTAGGTCAAGTAAAAGAATGTTTATTGTTTTATGAATTATGAAATAAAAATGAAAGTGTCAAAGGACAATATTAATACATTTACATCATAGAGGAGTCCTTTTTAAGCAAATGTGTGCTGGTTGGACACATTTCCACTGTTATTCGCTGGTAGTTGGCGGTCGCATATCAACACATTCTGATCCCAGGAAGATGTGGACTGTGAAATATTCTGGATCATAAAGGAGAGAAAATTAAATAACCTTTTTAAACTAATAAACGTACAGTTAACTCATCCTGAGGAGAAAATCTAAAAACCTCTTAACTCTTCCAACCTTCTCCAGGTAACGTGGAAAGCATCACGGCCCTGATCCACCACCATGTGCCACAGGCTCGTCTCATTGAAGCCATCGGACAAGAGCTCACCTTTCTACTCCCGCATCGGGACTTTCAACCCAGAGCGTACGCCAGCCTCTTCAGGGAGCTGGAGGAAACACTTGTGGACATCGGCCTCAGCAGCTTTGGTGTGTCTGACACATCACTGGAGGAGGTGGGTGGGACTGAAGAAAATACAGTTTCCAATTTCAAATGCACCATTTTTTCCCATGCTGTGAGTATTGTCTGGTACTGACTACTGATACCAGTATGTTACACAATATATAGATAATAATACTACGCCTGCATGACAGTGATATGGTTATCATTGTTGAAAAGTGTGGCTGAGATCAAACCCTTAAATTGAAACATGAATGAATATGGGAGATTTAAGCCTTTTATTTTTTAAATAGAACAGTATAAAAAAAGTAGTGGAACAACAACTGAATTAAACAAATCTGGGAGCTAAAAATTATTTAAAATATCAAGTGCATCCATAATACAGTAAAATAGACAGGTATTTAAACAGAACAATATAAAACAACATTAGTCCAACAGTAACTTAAATAAATTATTTTGAAATAAACTTAGAGTGAAACACCAACCTAAACATTCTGAAAATACTAATCAAAAGAGCAGCAGCTACATTGTACTTTAATACTTTAACACAAGTAGACTTCACATAGTAGTTTTTTTTTAGCAAGTATTGCTTATAATTTTAAGAACAAAGGCAGATTCTTCTTCAAGAAGATTAGCTTTTTCACTCTCTATCCTAACTAGAAGTAACCAGTAAATAGATTCCTATTAATTCCTATTTTAAATTACATGGTATGGAATACCCTCCCCCACTGGCAGCTGGAGATAGGCACCAGCTCCTCTGTTGATCCCAGCAGGGATAAGCGTGACAGAAAATGGATGGATGATTGGTATCTGATGGGTGCCTGGACTCAAATACTCTCCGATGGCGATGTCAGCATTTTTGGCAGTATCAGAGACATTTCTAATCAGAACATAGAAGTTTACTGTACTTCGACTAAAAACTGAATTATGCCTAAATGTTTTTAGATTCATTTTCTTTAGCTTTATAGAGTTAGTTTTTGGACTTAGTAACAAATTTGTCTTTCTTGCAGATTTTTCTAAAAGTTACAGCAGATGGAAATGCAACCAACAGGAACCGTAGTCAAGGTATCTCAACAACAAAACTAGTAATAGTCATTCTGTAGTGCAAAAAAACTGAAAGCTAAGTAACTAAGTTTCTTTTGTCTTGAATTAAGCAGGTAAGTGAGACACTTTGCCAAAGGAATAAGAAAATTTACATTTAAAATAATAATAAAAAAAACAATTACATTGCCTTATTTCAAGCACATACTAATTATCTTAGTGAGAATGAGAATGAGAGTGAGAATACTCATTCCATTGGCATTCATCTTATTTACCTGCGCAAATTAAGGATAGATACCCTCATTTTAAGAAATTTTTACTTAATTCTAGGTTTAGTTTTTACAGTGTGGGCCAGTTCACTCCTTCACCATTTATGTGCTGCCATTTTTTACCCCTCATGTGGCATTTGGACACAATGCTTTTGATCTGAATTGGATATGAAACTGTCAAGACTCAGAACAGAAGACCCATTATTCAGGCAAGACAGACCGTGGGATTATTAAAAACGCTAACAGATTGGAGTAGCAGCGGCTAGGGCATCTGAGGCAGAAAACTCTG